ACACTTCAGCTGCTCATTCTGCTCACTAATCTAAGAGGATACACCCCTTTAAATCATTGATCTTCACAATGATTGAACTGACAGCAAAAAGAGCCCACAAGCTCGCTCAACTTTGGCTTCAATCAGGAATCAGGATTCTTTGCTGTATTTAGTTGCCAATAATCGCAAAATATAAACCCAGTAAATACATATGTGACTCTTTCATTTATTTATTGGTAGCATAGGCCAAGATCTCGCGGATGAACTTTGGCAGCATTCGGTGGACTTTGCTCGCAACGCCTTCTGCTGCTGCGTATGCGAATGCGACAAACAAGTCTCGGCACTCGCGACAGAGCAGTCCAAAGAGAGTGAAAGAGAGAGAGAGAGCGAAAGAGAGGGTAAGGAAGAGAAGAGTGCAAGTGCAATATGCACGTGCCGCAAAGAGAGAGCGAGAGAGAGAGAGAGAGAGGGAGAAACATTGCCAGAGATCAGAAATTATAAACAAATATCCAGCAGAACGAACGAACGAGCGACGTCTTGGCCATACAATTTTTACCCTGCCGCTGGCGGCTTAAACCGCCCAAAACTAGCCCACACCTGGCCGCGCACGCACAACAAAATAAAAAGAAGAAATTCTACACATAATACGCGTATTATCAACGTAACGCTTCGATTGTCTGTCAAAAAGTTGCTGCTAAATTTAGACTGTTGCTCCCTTTCCGACTTTCCGTCATTCCGCCTTTCGCGCCCCCTTCGCCACACGGCGGCTCTAACAGGGCCCCGCAAATGTCATAGACCTTCCAATGGACGATAAGAGAGAGAGAGAGAAAGAGAGAGAGGGTGAGAGAGAGCGCAAGCGGTGTCGTAAAGCGCCAAGCTAACGGAGCAGCTAACGTTTTATCAAGCAGATCACACAGAAAACACAGCACACAGAACTTGGTCTAGTATTTGCGAATCAAATTTGAGCCAGATATCATTTGAGTCCATAATGCATAGATCTGCGTCGTACTCGTACGATCTATGGCACTATGGGACACAAAATGCAAATTGAAACCCCAAGCAATCATTGTTTAGGTGTCAGTTATCTTGGGATAGCTCTGGCTTATAATATGGATATCTAGGATCTAAAATTTCATGCTCATGATAACATTTTTATTTATTTGAATTTCTGTTGCAAGATCTTCCAGTTTCATTGTTTATGATTATATACATATATCTATGTCATTTGCCCGAGCATAAAATTGTTTTGGTTTCATAGATCAAAGACTGCCCACGTGAGACTCGAATTTCCTCTTAAATGCCTCTGGAATCCCTGGTATCTGTATCTCTGTTTTGGTTCTGTTTCGGTTCATTCCTGGAATGTACTTGGATGGAAAATGCGAGTACCATATACATTTTTATGGCACCATTGGTACCCGTAGCCGTACCCGTAGCCGTACCCGTAACCGGTCCCGTACCCCCCACAGGGCATAGCAAATGAGGGTGTAAATATTTGCCGAGTGTCACGAATCGTTGCGATTGAGATAGATGACTCTATTTGTTGTGTTTGTCTTTCTGTACGTTGTTTTGCCGACAATGAAAACTGAGAAATTTCCATTGGCATCGATGGAAAGGAATTCGAATAGATTTCCGTTTGCATTCCAAGGGTCTCGAAACTATTTACACACGAATGCCAATGAATTAGAAATTAATTTTTGGCCCACAAATCTTTCTTCTGGCGGCGCATTTCCATTGTCACTGAGCAGAAGAGGGTGGAGATGGAGATGGAGATATCCAACGATCACGATTGAATATCGGCATCGAATCTTTTAATCAGCAGCGATTTTCACAACCAATTAGCGCTCCATAAATCGTTCGAGCCAAACGATTTTGACGCCATGCGCGGAGCCCATAAGTCAAAACGGTGAGATGGATCACGCCATGGCGATCATTAAGAGAGCATCGAGCCGCAGGGCAGTAGCAGTAGCAGAAGAGGGGACGGGGGGCCGGTAGGTAGGGAAGTCTAACACCTTTACGGCTGCTTCATCATTTCGGGCCATGTTTTGTCAACGAAGAGCAGACGTAAAGGAGACGAGAGAAAGAAGTGAAACAGAAACCGAAATCGAAATAAATTAAATAAATAAACGTTCCGTCGCTACATGACTGGCATTTTAGCCAAATTCTTGTCTGCTTTTTAGCTGCTTTTGTTTTTTTTTTTTAATTTGGGTGTTTTTGATGTTGTTCAGACGCAGACGCAGGCGCAGAGTCGCGTGCCGCAAGTGGGATTGGAGCGGGCAGCGGGTAGCGGGTAATCCGTAGTGTCTGTAGAGCCCGAAGGGTGAGGTGAGCTGAGGCTTTAAAATGCGCGACTCGATGCGCGGGGCCAAGTGCCTTGGCATTAATTTATCAGAGGCAAATGAAATCGAAATCGAAATCGGAATACGATCATGCCATTGATCAGCGAGACAACACAACAAACGAAATTCGGAATATATCTTGGGCTATTTTGGGCCGATATATTCGCACATTTTCCAAACTAAGGAATATATTTAACTCTCGCTTTTACTTGGCTATACTTGGCTTTGCCTTCGTGTGCGGAAAACCCTTTACTTCAGCAGTGATTAAATGCCTCAAAAGCTGTTGTAAGTTAAACCCATTCTTATCTGGCTATAGACACACACACACACACACACACACACACACACACACACACACCAAAGTGCCCAGTCTGTGCCCATAATCCCACTTTAAATGCTGTGCCCGGAATTATGGCTGTTATGACGCTTCGATAGAGTGTACCTTGAGGTTTCCATTTGACCTTGCACACGAGTCCAGGTCTGGCCCGAGCCCAGGCATTAACAATGTCAGCTCCTCCTGTGCAGGTACAGCCTGCCTTCGCCTCTCGAAATTTCCTGTGGCCTGCGGTTTTGTTGCTGCTGTTGCTGCTGCGGCTGTTTCTGCCCGGAAATGGCAAGTGAAAATATCCAGCTCCATTTGTGGGCACCAATACCAGTAACAGGACCAACAGGACTGTCAAGGCCAAGGCTGCTAATACCAGGATCTGCCGTGTATGCTGCCCACTCGGCTGTGTGCGTGTGCGTGTGCATGTGCATGTGCTTGTGTGTTGGCTGCAACTTTGACAAACAGTGTAATTTGGATTTCCATTTCAGATGCTGTCATTGTTTTTCATCTTTTCTCTTTCTCTCTCATTCGAATGCAACAACCGCATCTCTCCCAGTACGAAAAACGAGAGCTTAATTAATCAGAGTTTGAGTCGTCCTGTCCAGCTGTCCTGTTCGCAACGTTGATCCAAGGCCAGTTGCAGTCAGAACGATACACAGACCCTAACCAGGGATAACCCAATCTACGGTAACCTTGGCCATCGCCTGCGCTTATCTGAACGCAACTTTTACAGACACTTTCTATTGCCTAACCTTAGGTAATCGTTTCTAATCTATATTTCCCCTTTTACTGTCATTCAAAGTTCACTCTTTCTCAGGGAATGATATTTATCTCTCGGGCCACTTATCTTATCGTAGCTTATGCGATTAAGCGTGAATTATGTTCGTGTTTAGATCATTTTATGATATATAAGCCCAGAGTATTCAGCGCTGAAGAGTCGCTTAACATCTCGCACTCTCTTTATGGATCTTTAATTGCACTGTTGCCTAAGGGGATGCCTTGGTACAGTGCGGTAAATTTATGTAGATATAAATAAAATACCTGTCGGCACTGTGTGCACACACACACGCATAGTGGCAGAACCCCAGAGCCGCAACAACTAACAATTGAAAATGGAAACACTCGTAGATAAGAAATTTTTAATTACGCCCCGGCATCGCTCAGCAACCTCCCACCACCCAGCCCCCCGTTGCCATTGCCGTTACCGTTTGCCATTTCCATTGCTGCTGCCGCCTGCCTCATTATATTCACCGAACGAATGGCCACAATTCCGAATGGTTTTTTGCATTTTTTTTGCGCCCGCATCCAACACTGCTCGCGGAGAGTCTATACAGTCCAAAGAATGCCCTGAAATTTGAGTATTTCTACAGTTTATTTATTAGTATAAATCTATATATCAAATTTGCACCAATTGATTTGCACCGAGAATTGAAATTCGTAAAAATTATTAAATTTTGGATTCCACAATTTAACTATTTATTTAATATAGACAAGAAAGCAGGCACCAAAAATAAAAATGAAAAATTAAAAATGCACAATTACAGTACCCACTGTTCTGAGAATATTCTATGCATATCCAACAAATAAAATTTAAAAATTAAAAATAAAAATTAATACATTTAAAAAAAAAAATAAGTTTTACGGATAATCATCGCTGAAAATAATTATCCATAATGATTAAATTCAAAATAGTTCATTTAAATATATTTAATATTTGAATTAAATATTTTTTAATGTTTTATTTTACTTAAATAGTGTTTTATATTTTGCTGAAATAACCCTTAACCTAAACTAACCTAACCCAACCGTTTATGTTTAGTCCAAGTGATTTCTATGTAATTGTCACAATTTAATTTGCTTACTGGGCCACTTTTCTCTGAGTGTAGCTAACAGGAGTAGATAAATAAACATCGGAGATTATATTCGAGCTGATCCATCCACAATAATAAATTCCGCTCTGAAAGTGGAGGAGGAAAGTGCTAAAATGTTGCTCATACGCATAGGAGCACTCTCATATTAGACGTATCGTATACTTACTCGTAGCTATACATAGAGGCCCGCACAAGGCTCGCCCACGAACCAGCAACCGCCCCGCCCCCCTCAAAAACGAAACCGAACCCCAACGGGCACCGTCACCGTGTCAGCCCCCATATCGATGTGCGATAATAAAGCTGTTAACATATTGTTTACACTCTCGATTTGATGTAACAATTAATCAAATAGAATTGATTCTATTTGCACACTCGTTTCGTTGTTCTCTACGTTTTTCCCCTTCGTTCTTCGTTTACCTCTTCCTTCTTTGTTCCTTCCCTTTTCGTTCTTCGTTCGTTGTTGTAATAACAAAATTCTTTTCTTTTCAGATATCGCGTGGACTTGTCTATTAACCCAAATAAGGTGAGTTCATTTAAATTTTAAAGAATAAAAGGTGTTAGATATATTTGTTTGCTTGCCACAATGGGGCAATGGACAGTGGGGCAATGGGGGAATGGGGGAATGTCTCGTGTCTCAGTGTGTCTCGTGTTTTGTGGGTTCCCATTATCTGCAACTCTCGCCCCGTGCACTCATCTCTCACTGTCAGAGAGGGAGCTCGGGACTTATTCAAAACACGGCACAAAAAAACGCCGTTAAGGCGCCTCAGACAATGCCAATGCGAATGCGAATGCCATTGATCAATGGGCATATCAGGGTGCATTAGCACAAGCCACACCCACACCCACACCCACAGCCCCCGTCCAGCTGCCAGTCTTCTGTTACTGTTTCAGTATCTGTTCTGTATCTGGTTTCGTGTCAAACAGTTGGTCTTACTTACTTACCATATGGATTAGGCCAGAACTTAATTAATTACTCTGTCAGCAAGCGATTATGGCAACAGTTTCGATCTTTGTCTGGGTAGGAGGTGGCGCTATATCTATATAGTTTGTGTGTGTGTGTTTGTGCTTTTTTTTTGTGCAGCTTGACTTATGATTCGTTCCATAACTGAGGGGAAAACTTGATGCTGCAATTGAATGGGAAAATCCCTTTAATGTTTCGTTTTTTTGTTTTGTTGTTGCGTTGTTGCTGGAGGGCAACTTGAAACTTTCTTTTTCTGTTTGGTATTTAATCATTTGTCATCGCATTTCACTGAACTTTTGCTATTGTTGTCATTGTCCTCGGTGTCTGCCCTGCCCTGCCTGCCCTGCCCTGCCTGCCTGCCCTGTCTGTTGCATTGTTGTCATTGTGTGGAGTTGCGTGTTCATTGACGTCACACAGCCAACCACCCACAAGCACCTGGAGCGTGGAGCATGGAGCGGGGGCAGACAGGCAAGCTTGTTGCATGTTGCACGCACACATATACACATAGAGAAAAACGCCCCCCAAACCGCCCGAATTTTGTGTCCAGCACTCAAGTAAGCAGGTCAGGCCGCAGTACGCCAAGCGAGCGGTTCTTGCGGTTTAACTCACTTCGAAAGCAACAAACCAGCCACCCAGCAGCAGAAGCAGCACCTCCCACAGGCACAACAGCAGCAACAGCAGCACCACCACCCAACAACCAACCCCAACCCCATCCAGCAGACCCCCAAAACTCGGTCAGCCTGCGGTTTTCTTTAAGTTTCCTCCGCGTCACCAGTCTCTGGCATATCGAGAGACGACCAACCAACCAACCAACCAACCATTGCATAATGCGCACATTTTTCGTTAGTTGAAAATTGAAATTGATTTTTATGAGAGTTCTGTTGTGCTCCACAATGGTCTGCTCTGTTCTGTTCCACTCCACGCCTTTCTGCTCCACCCTACTCTGCTCCACGCCACTCTACTCTACTCCACTCCACTCTGCTCTGCTCTGCTCTCTTCGGTTCTACTCAATTCAGGTGATGGCCACAAACAAGCAGACATTCATATGCGAGGGCTGCACATTAAGTAGTTGATGGCTTGAACCCAATAGGCAGTGTTTAATGCAGACACAAGAGAGCGTATAGGGTGCAATGCCCTTGAGAGCGAGAGGGGGAGAAACTCTCTGGGCAGTAGTCTGATAATAAGTATACGTAAAAATAAAATAAAATATAATATCTAGAAGTGCGAATATCTTCTGGAACACCTCGTGCATGCTGTTGCTTCTGGCACCCGAAGGCGAGAAATCAATTTCAATTAACCAAATACATATGCAGAAGAGCACAGACACTCTCACACACCCCAAAAACAAAAAAACAAATAAATAAATATGCATGAAACTGAAGCCGTGGCTCAGAACTGAATATGAAGCTGCAGCTGGTAGCGGCCCAGTCCAGCACGGCCCAGGCCAGTCCGCACTACCTCTTCCAACAAAGCCACTCGTACGCATTCGATGATACCCTGCACTCGCATGGATGAGATGTTTAGGGTTCAGTAGTCAAAGATATTGAAATGGTTCAAAATATACCTGCATAAATATTGTAATTAATTTGAATCAGAAAAGTGCAATTGGCCATTAATTCTCTATAATCCTGTGCAGAGTTTTGCTTGGTAAATTTATCTTAGCTGCTTAGTGTCTTTTTTTTCTTCTTAGTTGTTGTTCTTCATCTATCATCGGCAAAATCAACCAATTGGGGATTTCCTTCATTTATTCTCGTGCCCGCATTTGTGCCTCATCATCCACAGCGGGTCCGCGTCTCGCCCCTGCCGCTTATTTTTATTAAAAGGGCTCGTATTCGGGACGACCTCCCCCCCCTCCCACCAGTGTGGTCTGATGTGCCCTGCTGGCTTGTTGACTTGCTCCGCTAATAATTGCAAAGACCGCGCAAGGAAAGGTAAACAAATTTACAAAACTGCCAGCCCCCCAAGTCGGTCCATCCATCCATCCGTACGTCTGTCCAGGGCGGAACCGGGACACCGCCCCCCAACCCCTGACCAAACGCAGTGGGAAAGTGGAAAAGTCTGGCAGTTAGCGCCTCAGTCGACGGCCCCGGGAAAAGTCACGTTTTGCATTTTGGTTTCGGTTTTGTTCAGAACCTGAACCGTCGCCTCGCGTCGACTCGCTTCATCCTCGGCTGAATCTTACTTTCTTGTTTGTCCCGCGCGATGCGCTCTAAATGACAGATGATGATGGGACCGGGTATATTGGTTGGCAAATAAATCAAAGACCCTGTTCGTCTTCTTGCTCCTTGAGGTGGTGCTCGAATCAAGGATTCGATTTGCGTGCTGCGGCAGGCGCAGCACTGAAATGGGAGACAAAAATTAAAAACAGCAACTAAAAAAAAATTAATCATTTAAATTTGAATAATTTTAATTTTAAATTCACAGAAAAAGGGCATTGCATAGAAGCATAATGTAATTAAATATTCGGTTTTTTTTATTAAAATTTACTTTTTAAATATTAAAATTTCAGTGCTCGCATTTGTAATTTAAATAAAAATCATTTTAAAATAAATATATTAAATTAAATTAAATGTGTAGCTTAATTTGTTTATTTATTTATGGAAATATTACATTAAATTTAATTTAAATATAATAAGTATATTTATTATTTGAATTTTTTTCATGTCATGTATGCCAAAATGTAAGTGAGAACATTTTATTTCTGTAGTTAAACATTTTTAAATTCAAGTAAATATTAAAAAAGACCTTTTCTCTGTCTGCAAAAATCTAAGATTTCTTTAGATTATTTCCCCAAACATCTACGGTATTTCAATGGTCGCATACCCTCAGACAACTATGCACTTCCTGCTCTTTTTTCCTCTTGCTCTCTCACTTTCTGCCTTGTTTATCTTTGTGAGATGTTTGCCGCACAAGAAAATTCTTTCTCGAGTTGATTTTGTAAAATACTCGTATTTTATTGTATGGTGTGGGCGGCTGCCTGCCACATCACGGCACAATTGATATTCATGCCACACGAAAATAGTGGATATTGTAAAGGTATCGTTGGATGATAGCTGCTCAGCCTTTTGCCTCTGCCCACACCCCCTAAAGTGACAACATTGCGTATGCGCAATTTCTAGCCTCATAGGAGATGCATTTTGATTGTGACGGCTGCAAAAGGATTGAGGTACAGAGGGGGGGAGCGTGTGTGTGTTGTACCTTAAATTGTTTTGCCCCACCTCCCCCCCCCACAACCCACACAGCTACTGTGTCTGAGCGTCCAAGTGGGCGTTGCAACGCGTGCAGCCCCTCGGGTTTTCCAAAGCCAAAAACTGTAATAAGCCCGACGTCAAAGAGCGTTCAATTGGAATTTTCGCGCACCCTATGCAAGGGAATCCATATACATTCCTTTGAATTCTGAATACCAGAGGACACTTTCAGTTTGCACGAAAACTCCTACTCCTATTTCTGTTTAGTACTAATGAACAATTCTGGTGAAATTCAATTCAGCAATGGATTGCCAGCAGAGATATTCAGGTGTGGATATTTATTAGATTTTCTGTTGCCTGGACAAGACAATTTTCCATTCTGTGGAATTTATTTGTTTATTTAACTTTTCAATTTGACTACAGATTTATTTTGTGTCCTCGTCTCTGATGCAATAACACAGGCCCATGAACATAAACTGCCAGTTTGCTGCAGGCCTACAATAACTTAATTTTAAGTTAATCAATACTAAATCAATTGTTTTCCAAGATTTGTGCTGGTTTTCCGCCAATATAAAGGTTGAATGGATGCTCCATAATTAAACACAAATTAAGTTATTCATTTTTACCCGTACCAAGTAAGGGGTATATTAGAAAAGTTAAAGAGTGTAACGCAGAGAAGGAAACGTTTCCGACCCCATAAAGAAACAATCTTGATCAGCATCATAGCCGAGTCGATATAGCCATGTCTGTCGTCCGTCTCCATCATTTTCTTGTATTTAGACAAGTAGGGTACCAATGGTTTCCACCATCACACTGCTAAGTGTTCGTTCGCCCTTCCCCCCGGCGGCGGCCCTCCGGCGAGCCCCCAAACGCGTAGCCGCCCCCCCCCCCCCCCCCCCCCCAAAAACCATATCTCTGGGTATCGTCCCCGCCCCTCCGTTTATCTTAATATCATTAAAAAAATTTAAAAATTAGCAAAAAACATTTTCCATTGCAATATTGTAAATTTAATCAGACTCTAGATATTCGTATTAAAATTTCAAAATTTCTTGTATTTTTAAATTTACAATATACAATTTCCAATATAAAAATTGAGCTACGTCTTTTCCTTTGATTGAGTTTGCCTTTAGGCATCAGTCGACTGATTGCTTCGAAATTATTAATGTTTTCATGACAAGAAGTCCGCAAAATAAAATCAAGTTACATATATTGTGATTCGCCGATTCCCAATCCGGTATCAGATCCTGCAAGCAGCGCAATATTATAATTTTAAGCAAATTACACAGCTCCCCAAAAACGAATAAAGACGTCGATAGTCGGATATTCGGAGAAGTTGAGTGTCCTCAGCCGAATCTGAGGTCAGAATGAAGAAGC